GGAAGTTTTGGTCGCGTCCATCGTGTTCCAAATATTGAATAATTAACGAGGGAATAAAATCGACAATATAGCCCCCCGCGTCGTGTCATTTGACGACCGCTGGTGATAACTGGAAGAGCCCGGGGGGCGAGTGGCCTGTAGTGCCAACGGCAGTCATAAACCTGATGTAGCTTCACCCGGGCCGGCATAAAGTGCTCATTTCCCTCCCGAAGTCGAGTAACGGTGGGTCATAACAGTGTGTGTGTGTGTGTGTGTGTGTGTGTGTGTGTGTGTGTGTGTGTGTGTGTGTGTGTGTGTGTGTGTATGTGTGTGTGTGTGTGTCCAGGTGCAAACATGGGTGGTGTTGGCTCAGCACACACACACACACACAACGCTTGTGGGTTTAATGAGTTAAGCTGCCATGTTAATCCCTTGAACTGTGCTGCTCTTGGCGAGAAAGATGAACGCACTTGACAGACTAACTGTTAGGAATTTAGACCTGGATATATGCAAAGTTGTGACTGTAGGCTTAAGAACGAGAGAGCTCCAGGAGCAGCGCCGAATGAATGAGGGACACTTGCCCAATTACGAGGAGAAGGGAGTACACGTAAGGCCAAACCTAACCTGTGAGCCACACGTGAGAATAACATTGGTGGCGCTCGCTAAACCGGCAGACGCTTGGCCAGCGGTGTTGAGAAACAATGATTTGAGAGAAGGTTCTATCTTGATTGGAGGTTTCTATCATCCAAGATTGGAGATTCTATCTTGAAGGTTGATTGAAATATTCTATCACCTGTTAGCCCTGCTTATGAAAGAATCACTTGCAGGCGATGAGTCACAATAACGTGGCTAAAGTATGTTGACCAGACCACACACTAGAAGGTGAAGGGACGACGACGTTTCGGTCCGTCCTGGACAATCGACTTGAGAATGGTCCAGGACGGACCGAAACGTCGTCGTCCCGTCATCTTCTAGTGTGTGGTCTGGTCAACAAAGAATCAATTTGCACAAGCCTCAACTGATGACCAAACATTTCTCGAGCAGTAAACCTGGAGAATACCTGGGAAGGGTTCTGGGAGTTGTTCTACTCCCCACGTCCGGCCATAGACCAGGCTCGACTTGTTATCTTGAGGTTATCTTGACATGATTTCGGGGCTTAGTGTCCCCGCGGCCCGGTCCTCGACCAGGCCTCCACCCCCAGGAAGCAGCCCGTGACAGCTGACTAACTCCCAGGTACCTATTTTACTGCTAGGTAACAGGGAGTTGTGACTTGGGAGATAACCAGGCTAGACAGTGCTTCGCTCGCGTCCTCTGTTTGAATCGCAACTGTAAATGCTTCACTTTGTACTATAAATACCACACTTAACTAACTGAACTACTAATAATACAACAGATTTCAATAAACTATTTCTATATTTGAGAAAATAGCAATTTTGAGTACGGATTACGTTTAAATTGGTGAATGCGTCTTTGGTGGTCGGACACAACTTGGACTAACAGAACCCGAGGACGGGTTGTGCCTGTAAGGCTTTTATTATATCTAATTGTTTAATATATTTATTATATCTAATTTATTATATCACAGTGCTAGTGGGATGGTGGGGTCTGGGGGGGGAGGTTCTGTGTGGTCAGAGACGTGAAGGTTTTGTCTGGTCAGAGACCTGAAGGTTCTGTCTGGTCAGAGACCTGAAGGTTCTGTCTGGTCAGAGATGGGAAGGTTCTGTCTGGTCAGAGACGGGAAGGTTCTGTCTGGTCAGAGACGTGAAGGTTCTGTCTGGTCAGAGACGTGAAGGTTCTGTCTGGTCAGAGACGTGAAGGTTCTGTCTGGTCAGAGACGTGAAGGTTCTGTCTGGTCAGAGACGTGAAGGTTCTGTCTGGTCAGAGACGTGAAGATTCTGTCTGGTCAGAGACGTGAAGATTCTGTCTGGTCAGAGACGTGAAGATTCTGTCTGGTCAGAGACGTGAAGATTCTGTCTGGCCAGAGACGTGAAGGTTCTGTCTGGTCAGAGACGTGAAGGTTCTGTCTGGTCAGAGACGTGAAGGTTCTGTCTGGTCAGAGACGTGAAGGTTCTGTCTGGTCAGAGACCTGAAGGTTCTGTCTAGTCAGAAAAACGAAGGTTTAAGTCACAATTAATATTTCTAAGCATTAAACAAGATGAGTAGCAATGGAACATAGTGGTGAAGAATGATAATCTTGCTCCAAATGATTCTAGAAATAAATTGGCAAATATATCACTAATTGCGAGGCCCAATTATCATGCCAAATTGTTGATGTCCATGAAAGGCTGATTTATCTTCAGTTATCTGAAGGCAGGTCAGTTGGAACTATGGAAAACAGAGATGTGATAAACATACCAGCTATCTTTTTATTCTTAATGTTAATGCCTCTACTTATGTTTGCGGCAAGTCACCAGTCTAAGATACACACTACTGACAGTTCAGATAAATATTTCACTTAATGCCAGCAAGTCTATGAGGAGCACTGCCGATACCTAAGGTGATTGGGCTCACGGAATGTTGGGTTTGTGGCATTTCGGGAGGCCATATTGAAGTTGGGGCTGTTGTTATTGGTAGTAAGGTGTCGAAATTGTTTGCAGAGTTGAGACCACTTTGTGTCATTTTAGCCATTTGATAAAAGTATTGTTTCTATATCTCACTTTGTGACGATGTAATGTAGGCCTCGCCATTCCAGAGGTGATGGTGAGCCCTATACACTACGTAACATAACATTTTGTTACATAACTGTATTCATATCAACAACTCGGCCTCTTTTGCTTGCTGTAGTAACTTTGATGTATTGATCCAAGATTCCCCAAGACTGTAATGGGGCATTTCGGTATGGATGGTTTAGGGGGTCAAGATGCCTTGTACATATCCCATCATTAAATATGAGTCGGCATATATGTAGGTACGAGCAAGGTCTATTTGTTAAGGTATCTGTTTTGGACACCTGTACCAAATTTGAAGCAGAGATCCATTCATTCAAGGCATACCTGCTCGATACCTGGTTGATGGGGCTCTGGGAGTTCTTCTACTCCCCAAGCCCGGCCCGAGGCCAGGATTGACACCGTCATATTCACCGTCTGATGAATATGACATACCACGGGTTCATCCTGGGGATGCGTGCGCGTGTGTATACAGTGTCAGAAATATTTGTAGTAGATATGAGAGAGGAAAATAGATCGGGAGTTAGTACATTAGCCAACCCACAATTACAAAGGTAGGATCCAAGATCTAACAGGTCGATCCTGCAGGCACGAACAGTAAGCACATACACACACACATGCATATGTATATACATACATGAATTCACGCACACGGATTGTAAATATTGTTGGAAAACATACATTACATTTTCATAATGGAGGTTTTTGATGCAATATTCCACGAATTCGGACTTGGCAGTATAAACGTTTGTATCTTGTAATATTCATGGAACGCAGAATATAAGAACAGATTTATTATCTTAATCAAATATTATCTTGGTTCCTGGTGTCCTTTCTATATATATATATATATATATATATATATATATATATATATATATATATATATATATATATATATATATATATATATATATGTATTTTTATAGCTAGAAGAGGTACCACCTCTGGTGCAAGTGTAGGGACCCATAGCCTCGGAGAAGAAAATAAAGAGTACTCAGAGAAGACCTTGTGGATCCTCACTGAACACTTTATATATTTATTTATATATATGAACACTATATATATATATATATATATATATATATATATATATATATATATATATATATATATATATATATATATATATATATATATCGACTCCTGACACTGGTGCTCATAACCCCTCATGGAGCCGTTCTTTAAGTATCGACCATAAGCCTCGTGCTCATAAATTGTCTACATTGCCATTATATTTTCCATTATAAAGCTTGATTTATTATGTTCCTGTTAATGTGGTTTTTCATAAGCCTTTGTATGTTAGCGCTTTAAACATAAGGGATGTTTATAATAGTAAGAGAGTGCCTAGATGGAGAGTGGGAATGGCTATAGTAATATAGAGTGGCCACTTGGAATTAGGAAAGAGATAATAGTATCATAAAGAGCTCTATTAGGTAAAGAAGCTCTTTTGTAGAAAAAGGGAAAAACACAAGTTTTAAGATAAAATTTTACACACAAACTTTCTATACAAATATATATGGCCCTTTTGAAAAGGCAAATTACTGTATCTTGATAATCCCTTCCCCCCCCCCCCAAACAAAAAAGACTTGCTGATAACAAACTAGAGTGATTCTGACTGGAAACAAATGAGCCGACCCACACATATGAAGTAACACACTCTCTTATCTCTAGTAAGGAGAACTCTTAAGAATGAAACCCTATCTCTCTTTCAAGGAGAAAGTTCTTAATAAATAAAACCTTCTCCCAATAAAAACTCTAAATTAACAATGAAGCTTTCTTGAAAGGAGAAATATCTTGGTGAACAAGCCTCTCTCTCTCCCAAGAAAACTCTTAGTAAGAAAAGCTTCTCCCTGTGAAGATTGAGGTTTGGCAGCCGTCACACACACACACACACACACACACACACACACACACACACACACACACACACACACACACACACACACACACACACACACACGCAGAGGAAGCAGCCCGTAGCAGTTGTCTAACTTAGGTACCTATTTACTGCTAAATAACAGGACATCAGGGTGAAGGAAACTCTGCCCATCTGTTTCCGCCGGCTGCGGGGATCGAAGCCCGGTCCCTAGGTCCACGAGTCTAGAGTTCTGTCCACTCAGCCACACACCCCTGTGTGTGTGTGTGTGAGCCATTACCTCTACAGTTTTTAACACTTACCTGGTACCAAATGTTAGCCTATCCTGGAGATTGATTGTACTGACATTTTAAATTATGCCATAATTAAGTTTAGCCTGTGCCGAAATTTAAATAGCCTTTTGTGTTTACTAATATTGTTATGCATATGCAGAGTACTAAAAGCGGTGTGTGTGTGCGTGGTTGGTGCCCTTGCAGAGCGGACGACGGAAGGAACGTGGACGCGTGGAGTTGAGCCGAGTGGTGGCGGTGGAGTGCGTGGATAGTGCCGTGTTCCAGCGAGACTGGGTCTTCCAGCTCTGCTACCTCTCCGACGAGAAGGAGCAGTTCGTCCTCTACATCGCCGCCGTCACCTCTCAGGAGCGTGACCAGTGGCTCGACTACATCCGAAGGCGTGAGTGACCTTTCTTTGCACTTGGGAACTGGTGGTCAAGTGAAATTAAGGGTTCTGTTAGAGACATATTTTCTGTTAGGGATTACAGATCAACCAGAGTTATAGATTATGGCGTCGTGTTCTCGAATAACTGAACCTTGTGATACTTGAAGCGCCAAGAATATAAGGTAGAATGTTTACTATTAAATACATTATTATTGAATAACTATTCGGGTTATTATAACCCGAGTGATTGGGCACTTCTTGCAAGAACGTATCCAGTTGCTTCTTGAAAATATAAAATTTTGTTCTGGCAATATGTACTTTGTGGAAGGCGGCTGAAGAGCTGCGGACCTCTGATGTTCATAGAGCGTTCTTAGATTGTGCCTATGGCTCCTCTTCTCTTTACTGAGTCTAGTCAATATTTCCTGTCATATCCTTTCTTCCATTGTTATCTGATTATTTTGCTGTTTTATTGTGCATGTTTTGTAACTTTAATACAATAATCTGAACTTTAAAAAGTAGTTGCCTGAGAAAGCGGTAATTTGACTCAATTTCATTTCCAGTTTCATAAATTTCAGAGTATATTTTGAATGCTATGAGACGGAATTATATTTCAGAAGTTTTTCTGTATGCGTATAGTAGCTGCCAGATTGCACTTGTTGTAATTTTTGTTAGACATTCTTATGTGTATGGGAGGATGTACACCGCAGACTATCTGATTGGTTTGCGTGCTGGCGTATTAGTTGGCCGATTTTCTCGCTGACTGTTAACTGGCTTTCTGTCTGGCCGACAGATCTCTTTTTAAATGGCTAGCTTTCTGGCTGACGATCTGGTTAGCTTCTTGCTTAGTAGTTGACTCGCTGACTGCCTCTCTTACTAGCTAACTGTCTGGTTGGCTAGCTGAATGATCAAATGAAACAGCGAATTATCCAGCCAGCCAGTCAGTCAGCCAGCCAGCCAGCCAGCCCAGCCCATCATCAAAACATTGGCCGAATGCTCGTTAATTCAGCCCCTGAACCGCCTGTTTATACTTGACTCACAACTGATTACGTTAGAACTTGCTTCAATCATTTCATTTTCGTTCTACAAATACAAATTATTTCCAGCATAGCCTGATCTTGACCTAATCATACATACATTTATAATACACAGTATACCAGCAATGTCGAATTGAGAAAATACAGATTTTGAATACACTTTACGTTATAATTGATGATTGCTTCTTTGGGGGTCGGCCTCGGCTTAAAAAGACCATACCTGGATGGCTTGGCCAACCGGCCACCCATTTAGCCAGACAACAGGCAAGCCAGTCAGCCAATTAGGCAGCCGGCCTCAGAGCGACCTGTGTGCTCATAGATGCTTCACGTTCCTTGGGTGATGTGCTGCTAATTTGATTGAAGTTGTCAGGGTTCAAGCTGGGTTTATTTACAACAGTGATTTTAGACACAGAATTATTTATTGCCTGAGTTTAAATAAGCAAAACAGGTTAGCGTCCATATAAATTTATTTTATTTACAGATGCACGTAAAATGATTGTAATCAGGATTTAAAATTAGTTTTGTCCAAGAAAAATGTCCATCAGGTTAATTTTACTTTCAGCTTTTGTGTAATATACCTTTGGATAATATGTATATGTTATCAAAACAACCCGTCCTTCTAATAGAACGTCGCATTTTGATGTATACTTTACCTAAGGCCAAAAGATCGTCGTACTAGAAAATAGTAGCGGCTCTAGAAATTGACATACTGTCTAGATTTCTGTTTTAGGTCCTCTGGTAGGTTAGGATAAGTGCACTTTAGTAAGATCGTTTCTTGACGTTGCGAAACCTTAGGAGGACGGGCTGATCAAAAGGATATTAGTGTGATATTACTGTTGCAGACGAGGAGTCACAATAACGTGGCTGAAATATGTTGACCAAACCACACACTAGAAAGTGAAGGGATGACGACGTTTCGGTCCGTCCTGGACCATCGACAATCGACTTGAGAATGGTCCAGGACGGACCGAAACGTCGTCGTCCCTTCACTTTCTAGTGTGTGGTTTGGTCAACATATTACTGATAATATGTTGCAGAAGTTTGTATAATTGCTGCATTATAGATGATTATGTATGCATCAATAATATGGAAGCATGTACAAGGTGGGATTGTGTTGAAGCGTTAGTGAAGGTGGTGGTAGGATTATAATGTTTGTTGTTGACAGTGGTGGTGGTGGTGGTTGTAGCGGGATAATGTTTGTTGTTGTTGACAGTGGTGGCGGACAACGAGTGCCTGGCGGAGTGGTACCACCAGGGCGTCTTCATCAGGAGCCAGTGGACCTGTTGTAAGGGCGGCAAGGACGTCACTGCCTGCACCTCCGTCACCTGGACCATCAACCACAACAACAATCCTCCAGGTGAGTGCCACTCTCCTACCACCATCATCAACCACCATCCAGGTGAGTGCCACACTCCCACCACCATCAACCACCATCCAGGTGAGTGCCACTCTCCCACCACCATCATCAACCACCATCCAGGTGAGTGCCACACTCCCACCACCATCATCAACCACCATCCAGGTGAGTGCCACACTCCCACCACCATCATCAACCACAGCAACTACCCACCAGGTGAGTGCCACACTCCCACCACCATCATCAACCACCAAGCAGGTGAGTGCCACACTCCCACCACCATCATCAGCCACCAAGCAGGTGAGTGCCACACTCCCACCACCATCATCAACCATCATCCAGGTGAGCGCCACACTCCCACCACCATTGAGGAAAATGCGAGCATACTCTCTCAATTGGTTTGGCATAGGGGGAATACCTCCCCCAATCAGCATGGGGGAGGGAAGCCTCCCCAATCAGCATGAGGGGGGGGATACCTCTCTGTCGGCTGCAAATGAGACAGATCTTGTGACTTGGTGTTGGCGCACTTCGTTTTCAACTAAATAGATAGTTAAAGTTTCTGGAAATTACTGTGTCTAGGCTTCTGGCGTGAAATACTCTCCATAAAAGTAATTAGGGTAAAGTTGTATTGTTTACGGCTAAACTTTGTGCCCATGAATTTGTACGGAATGAAAACTTGGTGCATTAGTGTACCGCGTGCGAGTGACGGTCGACTCTCCCTCAGGGTGCTTGCTCACTCACTTCCTCTCTCGAGTACATGTGCACCACGTCCCTTGTCCACATGTCTGGCCACGTACTTCCTCCCTGGAGTACATGTGCACCACGTCCCTTGTCCGCATGTCAGGCAACGTACCACGTGTTATTATATATATATATATATATATATATATATATATATATATATATATATATATATATATATATATATATATATATAATAGTATGTTTTTGGCAACTGCTAAATCTTGTCTGAAATTTGTAATGGGACTGGGAGATGCTGACTGCTAGCAAGGCGATGGAAAGAGAATACAGGTGATGGATCACTGCACCAGCAGAGACAATCTGTAAGTGAAAGGTGGCGCAGCATTGCCGTAGACTATTATGTCACCGCCACCACCTGGCGAGAGAGTTACTAACTCGTGTTCTTGAGGATATCCTCATATTGCATGTAAAGTTTGCATACACATGGCCCTGTATGACTAACCATCCTGTGTGATAGGGATTTTTAGCATCACGTAGCTAGCTCTTGACACACACTGTAATCCCCTTCATATAGTCTAGGGCAGCGGCACAAATGCAGATGTACCTAAATGTGTGCCAATTAAAAAAAGGCGTGAGAGTGACCTCTATGAGCAGGAACTGGGGCATGATCTCTCTCAGTATATTATTTATTACCCAGGCATTAGACCCTTCAGACCAGCCGGTAGGAGGCACGTCGAGCTTTCCAATTGATCTACTCCAGCGTTCTTGAGGAGGATATCCTAATAATGCAGCCAAAGCTGGCCCATACAGGCTACTGATTACATGTCCCCGTAGAACTGACCCTCCAGGAAGATGGGGATTTATAATATAGCTCTTAACAGACTACGCTGCCCTCCACACACACACACTGTCGTAGCTACACAAATGTCGTCATGTCTAAGTGTCTTGATTTAACTTAAATGTATGTAATCATTTTAATAATTGGGTGTTGTATTCCTGTGGATATTGCTTCCCAGATATAATACGTGTCCCAAAAGTCTGGATTAAGAGGCAATTTCCCTTACATAAAAATGTTAATGTTTCTTTCTTTTTTAATTTCGAATTGCCTCCTAGGTCTCAAGACCTAACTCCATTCGACCTTTTTCTTTGGGGTTATTTGGGGAGGCCTACAGGCCTCCCGAAACAAGGAGACCTGCTCCCCGACCCCCAGTTACAGGCCTACTCCCCAACCCCGGCCTGTAACATTGAATTTTAGACGTTAGTAATATTACTTACTATTATGGCCTTTGGAGGTCGACTTTCATTTCTCGCTCCAAGTTTCCTTACAGCCGGTTATTTATTTCGGATTAAGATCCTGCGAAAGCTTAAGAGATTTATTGTAGATTAAGAATGTGGCGTGTGTGTAGTAGGTGGAGCTGAGGGTGTGGCGTGTGTGTGGTAGGTGGAGCTGAGGGTGTGGCGTGTGTGTAGTAGGTGGAGCTGAGGGTGTGGCGTGTGTGTAGTAGGTGGAGCTGAGGGTGTGGCGTGTGTAGTAGGTGGAGCTGAGGGTGTGGCGTGTGTGTGGTAGGTGGAGCTGAGGGTGTGGCGTGTGTGGTAGGTGGAGCTGAGGGTGTGGCGTGTGTGTAGTAGGTGGAGCTGAGGGTGTGGCGTGTGTGTGGTAGGTGGAGCTGAGGGTGTGGCGTGTGTGTAGTAGGTGGAGCTGGGGGTGTGGCGTGTGTGGTAGGTGGAGCTGAGGGTGTGGCGTGTGTGTGGTAGGTGGAGCTGAGGGTGTGGCGTGTGTGTGGTAGGTGGAGCTGAGGGTGTGGCGTGTGTGTAGTAGGTGGAGCTGAGGGTGTGGCGTGTGTGTGGTAGGTGGAGCTGAGGGTGTGGCGTGTGTGTGGTAGGTGGAGCTGAGGGTGTGGCGTGTGAGTGGTAGGTGGAGCTGAGGGTGTGGCGTGTGTGTAGTAGGTGGAGCTGAGGGTGTGGCGTGTGTGTAGTAGGTGGAGCTGAGGGTGTGGCGTGTGTGGTAGGTGGAGCTGAGGGTGTGGCGTGTGTGGTAGGTGGAGCTGAGGGTGTGGCGTGTGTGTGGTAGGTGGAGCTGAGGATGTGGCGTGTGTGGTAGGTGGAGCTGAGGGTGTGGCGTGTGTGTGGTAGGTGGAGCTGAGGATGTGGCGTGTGTGTGGTAGGTGGAGCTGAGGGTGTGGCGTGTATGGTAGGCGGAGCTGAGGGTAAAGAAACTCTGCCCATTTGCTTCCGCCTCCACCGGGGATCGAACCCGGAACATTAGGATTATGAATCCCGAGCGCTGTCCACTCAGCTGTCAGGGCCGTTTCCTTCGGAGTCGGGGGGTATAGCGGTTACTTTATCCCACCCGGAACCACAGGCTAAAATTCTTTGCGCAGTCTGTCACAGCCAATTGAACCCGAGTTCGATTCCCGAGAAGGCTGAAACGGTTTGACACGTTTCCTCACCTGATGCTTCTGTTGCTTTTTAAGATTCGCTACCTGGAACAAAAAGTTCCAAGTAGCACAGGCTATGGTGAGCCCATTCTGATGCTCCTGTTCACCTAGCAGTAAATAGGTACGTTGGCGTTTGGTGATTGTTGTGAATTTAACCCTGGGAAAGGTCAGTGGCTGGGCTAGTGGGACCGCGATCAGCCTAAAAGGCTGCTTGTCCCCCATAATGGGAAACCATTTAACATTGGCTTGCGGGTGTCGCCATTTTAAGTGCACTATTATTTAGTCCTTTCCCGAGACGTTTTATTAACATTTCCTCTTCCATTTCCACTCCTTGTTTCGTGTTTATTTTATATATGTTCAATTGTGCTATTAGTTTTTAATTTCAGTTTTCCCTCTTTTGTAGATATTCTTGTTTTCAAGTTAGTGTTCATGAACCAGCAGAGGCACAGGAGAGGGTTATCTTGAGGTTATCTTGAGATGATTTCGGGGCTTTTTAGTGTCCCCGCGGCCCGGTCCTCGACCAGGCCTCCACCCCCAGAAAGCAGCCCGTGACAGCTGACTAATACCCAGGTACCTATTTTACTGCTAAGTAACAGGGACATTGGGTGAAAGAAACTCTGCCCATTGTTTCTCGCCGGCGCCTGGGATCGAACCCAGGACCACAGAATCACAAGTCCAGCGTGCTGTCCACTCGGCCGACCGGCTCCCTGAGGGAGGTGGTGTTTGGGGAGGTGGAGGCTTGGAAATGAGATGGGAGGGAAGGAACTATCAAGGGAAAGCGCCAAACCATTACGACTATAGGGATTTGGGATGGAACGAAATGAATGGTGCCCAACCACTTGGACGGTCGGGGATTGAACGCCGACCTTCAAGAAGCGAGACTGTCGCTCTTCCAAAGAGATGGGTGGAACGTACTTTACTCTATGGCTCTATCTACTATAGTTTACCTTCTACTGGAACGCCTGGTAAATCTTGCAGCCATGCTCCCTCTCGCCGTTAAAACGCCCCAATCCTGCTGGCGCAGAGGTGGTTCACTGATACATTTGGTGTAGCAAGTGGCCGTGTGTTTGGAAGGTTGGGGGTTGAGTACGAAGGGGCGGGTGTAGGCAGGTAAGTTAGGTAGGTGGCTACAGTTGTCTGGTGGTCGATATACGGGGGCGGTGTACTGGAGGTGACGTGTTGAAACTGAATTGTGGAGTGACATATGTGGGTGGTAATGGTTGTGCCCTTTACGGGTTCACTTATAGCCCGTGCTACATGGACATTTCGTTCTTAGTAGCTAAATCTAAACCAACATGTTGTGCACGCGGGATGTGTGAGCACATATTGTTGTGGGTGCTTGTATGGATTATTGCTGGTGGCATATCTGAGGCATCACAGTGTTGTGGAACTGACAGGTTGCACAGTTCACGGTTGAGGCGATACTGTGCGCAAGAAATTTTTTTTTTCAAGATAGGGATACTTAGGGATAAGTTTAAGGGATACTTAGGGATAAGTTTCAGGGATACTTAGGGATAAGTTTCAGGGATACTTAGGGATAAGTTTCAGGGATACTTAGGGATAAGTTTCAGGGATACTTAGGGATAAGTTTCAGGGATACTTAGGGATAAGTTTCAGGGATACTTAGGGATAAGTTTCAGGGATACTTAGGGATAAGTTTCAGGGATACTTAGGGATAAGTTTCAGGGATACTTAGGGATAAGTTTCAGGGATACTTAGGGATAAGTTTCAGGGATACTTAGGGATAAGTTTCAGGGATACTTAGGGATAAGTTTCAGGGATACTTATAAGAGTTCATCTGTTACTATCAATGACATCTACCACAACATGTATAAGACAGGTCTCAACACTACATGTTTCTCTGTACTCACCTAGTTGTGCTTGCTTTTTGTGCTTGAGCTCTGGCTCTTTGGTCTCGCCTTTCAACCGTCAATCTACTGAGTACAGATTCTGTATCCAGGGCATCGAAACTGCAGCCGGCAATTTGTACTGGTGTACAAATGGTGTACTGGAATACCGGATTAATGGTATAATAGAATTCCAGATTAGTGGTATAATGGAATACCGGATTAGTGGTCTACTAGAATATTGGATTAGTGGTCTAATACTGAAATAGTGGATTGGTGGTCTACTGACTTACTGAAATATTGGTCTACTGAAATTCTGGATTAGTTGTCTCCTGAATTACGGAATTAATTGTGTCCTGTAATACAGGATTATTGATGGTATACTGAAATACGGGATTAGTGTGATGGTGTACTGAAATACGGGATTAGTGTGATGGTGTACTGAAATACGGAAATATTGATAGTGTAGTGAAATGTGGGATTAATGGTGTACTGAGGTACGGGATCACTGTTGCTCGCAGGCACGTGTACAGTGCTGAAGGAAGGGATCATATGTACCCAGAGAGGATCATATGTACCCAGAGAGGATCATATGTACCCAGAGAGGATCATATGTACCCAGAGAGGATCATATGTACCCAGAGAGGATCATATGTACCCAGAGAGGAGGATATGTACCCCAGAGAGGATGATATGTACCCCAGAGAGGATGATATGTACCCCAGAGAGGATGATATGTACCCCAGAGAGGATGATATGTACCCAGAGAGGATGATATGTACCCCAGAGAGGATGATATGTACCCCAGAGAGGATGATATGTACCCCAGAGAGGATGATATGTACCCAGAGAGGATGATATGCACCCAGAGAGGATGATATGTACCCAGAGAGGATGATATGTACCCCAGAGAGGATGATATGTACCCCAGAGAGGATGATATGTACCCAGAGAGGATGATATGTACCCCAGAGAAGATGATATGTACCCAAGAAAGTGTGATATGTACCCCAGAGAGGATGATATGTACCCCAGAGAGGATGATATGTACCCAGAGAGGATGATATGTACCCCAGAGAGGGTGATATGTACCCCAGAGAGGATGATATGTACCCCAGAGAGGATGATATGTACCCCAGAGAGGATGATATGTACCCCAGAGAGGATGATATGTACCCAGAGAGGATGATATGTACCCAGAGAGGATCATATGTACCCCAGAGTAGATGATATGTACCCCAGAGAGGATGATATGTACCCCAGAGAGGTTGATATGTATCCCAGAGAGGATGATATGTACCCCAGAGAGGTTGATATGTATCCCAGAGAGGATGATATGTACCCCAGAGAGGATGATATGTATCCCAAAGAGGATGATGTGTACCCAGAGAGGATGATATGTACCCCAGAGAGGATGATGTGTACCCCAGAGAGGATGATGTGTACCCCAGAGAGGATGTTATGTACCCCAGAGAGGGTGATATGTACCCCCAGAGAAGATGATATGTACCCAGCTGTCAACGGCGCCCTTGACACCCGTGTTGACAATACTGTCAGTCAGTGCTCGTTAGAATTCTGCTCTTGAAATCCCCAAACATATTCGTAGCTTAAACAACGTGCAGTATATTTCTGGTGCAATTTATACAAATGATCTATTTTTATTGTATTTGTATTCATAAAATTGTGGTATAAGTTTCAAATACAAAACAAAATGCAGTGTTATTGTATGCAATTGTTGTCAAAGTGTTAACTTTAAAAGATCTATATTAATATTATATTTACATGAGTATTGTGGCTCGAACATCGTTCTGTAGTATCGTAGTTGATTCTTATGGCCGCGGAAGGACCTCTAAGGTCTAATGTCCCCCTCTGCTCATGTCATGTCATGTCACGGGGTATTCTGGTGCGACCTCGGCTATATAGTCACTTTGAGCACTTTGTACGGTAAATGAGAGATGCGTGGAAGGGTCCCGAGAGCTAGATCTCGCTCCACAGTAAGCTGTGACATGCCTACTACCCCCCGGCACTGGAAGATAGGGGCCCTGGAGCTAGATCTCGCTCCACAGTAAGCTGTGACATGCCTACTACCCCCGGCACTGGAAGATAGGGGCCCTGGAGCTAGATCTCGCTCCACAGTAAGCTGTGACATGCCTACTACCCCCCGGCACTGGAAGATAGGGGCCCGAGAGCTAGATCTCGCTCCACAGTAAGCTGTGACATGCCTACTACCCCCGCCACTGGAAGATAGGGGCCCTGGAGCTAGATCTCGCTCCACAGTAAGCTGTGACATGCCTACTACCCCCGGCACTGGAAGATAGGGGCCCTGGAGCTAGATCTCGCTCCACAGTAAGCTGTGACGTGCCTACTACCCCCGGCACTGGAAGATAGGGGCCCTGGAGCTAGATCTCGCTCCACAGTAAGCTGTGACATGCCTACTACCCCCGGCACTGGAAGATAGGGGCCCTGGAGCTAGATCTCGCTCCACAGTAAGCTGTGACATGCCTACTACCCCCGGCACTGGAAGATAGGGGCCCTGGAGCTAGATCTCGCTCCACAGTAAGCTGTGACATGCCTACTACCCCCGGCACTGGAAGATAGGGGCCCTGGAGCTAGATCTCGCTCCACAGTAAGCTGTGACATGCCTACTACCCCCGGCACTGGAAGATAGGGGCCCTGGAGCTAGATCTCGCTCCACAGTAAGCTGTGACATGCCTACTACCCCCGGCACTGGAAGATAGGGGCCCTGGAGCTAGATCTCGCTCCACAGTAAGCTGTGACATGCCTACTACCCCCGGCACTGGAAGATAGGGGCCCTGGAGCTAGATCTCGCCCCACAGTAAGCTGTGACATGCCTACTACCCCTCCCCGGCCCTGGAAGAGGTGTGGTGGCTCCTGGCCTTGAAGACCAGTCAATAAAGAGTGACGTCTCCCATCCGAGTACTGCTGTAGCTATTGAAGATGCCGGAGAAGGTCAGCCGGCGTGCGGGCCAACACAGTGGCCTGCGCTTTCCAACGTTACGGATGGCATTCCGCTCTATAGGCACTGGACTTTCGGTCGTGAAAGACAGTTGAATTGGGGTGAAGTTATGTCAAATTATTATTGGTTAAGAAGTCGGAGTGGGCAGTTTTTTGTTTTAATTTGCGATGTTTTTAGTTACTATTTTTAACCTGTAGTTTTTGTTTCGACCATATGTAACCTGTTTCTTCATATGTAACCTGTTTCTTCATATGTAACCTGTTTCTTCATATGTAACCTGTTTCTTCATATGTAACCTGTTTCTTCATATGTAACCTGTTTCTTCATATGTAACCTGTTTCTTCATATGTAACTTGTTTCTTTATATGTAACCTGTTTCTTCATATGTAACCTGTTTCTTCATATGTAACTTGTTTCTTTATATGTAACCTGTTTCTTCATATGTAACCTGTTTCTTCATATGTAACTTGTTTCTTTATATGTAACCTGTTTCTTCATATGTAACCTGTTTCTTCATATGTAACCTGTTTCTTCATATGTAAATTGCTCCTTCATATGATAACTGTCCCTTTATTCGAGGTTTGCAGTACAAGGAGTAATTGTCGATAAACTGTAGAGAGAGATTCTGTGCCATTATCACCTCACCATTATATTAGGACTAAACCTGCTTGTGCCCCTTTTTTCTGGAAATGTGTATAGTTCTATTGTAGGTGTTGGTAGTCTTGCTCTTGGTGAGGATACTGATGTTGGAGGAGTTTACTGGGTGTACTGGTACTCCTGGAGGTGATAGCGAGGGCACTGCAGGTGCTGCTGCTAATGCTGCTGTTGTAGTTGATTGTATTACCGGATACAATTGTTGATTGTAGCAGCTATTGTTGATGCTCTTCCTTGTGGTGCTGATTAAGTATTTGGACTGTAAATTGGATAAATTGGCCAATGAGGCTTACATCTTTATTGAAGTCAGCGGGAATTGTGGGAATTTTCAGAAAATATAATTATTTATTCATATTTCTACTAACTTATTTCGCACAAATTCCTACTGGCATGTTTGCCTAAAATATAATTTGGCCATTTTTACTTTGAGCATTTTTTTTTTTTGGAGCCGAGGGTGTAGGAAATGTTGGAGATTATCGGGGCTGTGTTACTTTTCTTAACAATCTGGTTTTAATTCGTGCACAAAGATATATAATTTAAGTAATTGATATAATTGTTTATACCAGATTTGTTGGTGATTTCCTTTAGATTTTGAATTAAAAAATTCACCCCAGGTACTTGCTTACATAACTAAATATTCGTCTTAATTTTTTTAATCTGGAGGTTGGGTAAAATGCGAAAAATCTCCGTTTTTTCGATGTGGTCAAATTAATCTATACAATTATATTTAAATCTTCAAATATGTACAATATAACCTTTAATTGCATTCACTAAATGCACTCAAGCATAATATTTTACATTCGTCTTATTTTTCAAACTGGAGGACAGTTTGGGGAAAATGCAAAAAAGTCTACATTTTCCTTTATGGTGAAATTTTCTTATAAAAGGCCTAAATTTAAAACTTGAAATATATGAAATCACTTTCATTTACGCTTCATTTACGTATAATGTTTTAATAATAAGGGGTCTTAAATCTTTTTTTTTTATCAGAGGTACAGGAAATATATTGCTTTTCCTCAGAATCTAAGTTGACTCAACCATTGATGCCGAGACTCATTAGTCTTAGTTCAGGTGCCATGCGCCAGTTCCATTAAAGTTTCAATTTTGAATGTGACAAATATTGTCTAACTCAGCGCACAAATATTACGCATGAAATCTGGGGTCAGGTTATCCTCAAGGTTGTTGTGGTGGTGGTGCTGGTGGTGGTGCTGGTGGTGCTGGTGGTGGTGGTGCTGGTGGTGGTGTTCTGGTGCTGGTGCTGGTGGTGCTGGTGGTGGTGGTGGTGGTGCTGATGGTGGTGGTGGTGGTGCTGGTGGTGGTGCTGGTGGTGCTGGTGGTGGTGTTCTGGTGCTGGTGCTGGTGGTGCTGGTGGTGGTGGTGGTGGTGCTGATGGTGGTGGTGGTGGTGCTGGTGGTGCTGGTGGTGGTGGTGGTGGTGCTGATGGTGGTGGTAGTTCCTCGGGAGTTGTTGGTGGTGGTACTGCAGGAGGCGAAGTTGAAGCTACTGAAGGTGCAGGCACTGCTGAAGGTGGTCATAAAGGTGGAGGTGCTTGTGCTTGTAGCGATGCAGCTGACCAAAGTTCTGGCTGGCGTGTGACCAGGAGAATAAGTTGGAATTCCTCTGGTGGCCAGAGTTTTTCTCCCACTTAAGATTACATGTGGAAAGACTCAGAGGGCGCTGGAGGGGCGGTAAGTGGTTAGTCGTTGGGAAACCCTTGTTTTGCTCCACTATTTTCTCTAATGGTCTGGGCACCATTGGGTGGTGTCTGCTGCGTGTCCTGGTCCCCACCCTTGTGAGACCCTCCCCCCCTTCCCCCGTTCGGCCTTTTCCCACCCCTTTTGAGATCCCTCCCCCCCCCCCCTCGGCCTGGTCCCATCCTTGTGAGAGCTCGCTTGTCCTGGTCCGACCCATTATGAAAAGTTTGTCTTTGTCGACTTCCGTTCCTCCGAGTATCTTGTATGATGTAATCATGATTCGTTTCTGGCCACGTTTTCCATCATTGTGAGGTTTAGGTCTCTCGGCCTATGCTAGATCAGTTAATCACTACATCATGCGGCTAAATTTATACTTGGTGGTAAATTTCCGTACCTTTTCAACCGTTTTTGAAGGTCCTTATTTATGTTTGGGTTCCCAGTTAGCACTGTTGAGTGCATGCCCCCGTACTGTTTATATATACGCCATGTACAGTATTTTGAATAAATACGCGAATATATTTGCATATTTCGAATATATTTCCTGAATATTTGCATAATTATTATTATTATTATTTGCATTATTATCGCGTTTTTTGCATTATCCTACACGATGCTCCCTTACAAACTGTCAAGATAGCATACTGACTATTTCATAATTCTAATTCCCTCAGATACTGTTATTTGCTAATGCCTTGTAACATGTTCAGTGAACAGCTCCTGCTAAGGGCGTAAGACTTCATGCAAGCCAATAATTAGAAGCCCAGATGGAGGGCTCGCATGTAAAGGGGAAATGAATTAAGTGAGACCCCTTGATTGTTATGAGGTACAGCTTCCCCTCGTGGTCTGGGGAGGCCACGAGGCCATCTTGGCTCCCGGTGTCTGTCTCCCAACACCCTTGAGGACACAGCTCCAAGGCCCTCCCAGTAAACATAAGAAATGTAGTTTGAACAAAGGAGGACTACTTGGAGACCGTCGCTCTACCGTCCATCCCAAGTTGTTAGGGCCGTAGTGGGAGTGACATGCAGGGGTGGCATAGTAAAGAGATGGCAGGCAGCGCGTAATAACTTTAGGGGAACAGGCCAATTGAGTGCAGGACGGGGCTGTGTGTGTGTGTGTGTGTGTGTGTGTGTGTGTGTGTGTGTGTGTGTGTGTGTGTGTGTGTGTGTGTGTGTGTGTGTGTGAGATAGAGCGAGGGAGTGTCAGTGGATGATGACAATATGATGAATAATGATGAAGGTGAGGATGGGCAGGCGTGGGCGGGCTGTGATTCCCTTACACCCTCCAACTCACTTTCCCGCTCACTTTTTCTCCGTTTCACTTTATATCGCCGACTCTCAAAAGTCTCGAATATGAGAATAAGTTGTAATTATTTATCGTGAAATAATATCCCATTGATAATAATATATAAATATTAGTAGAATACATTAATAACGGAAGGGTATTAAAGCAAGGGTTAATTTAGCCATCGAGGAGCGATTATGTACTGGAGATGTTTTGAGCTAAACATTACGTATGATTTCGGCGGGAGGAACTCGACGACCAGCCAAGCAGCGTGCACCTATCTTCTCGCGCCAGTGGTGGACCGCAGGTGGGAGGGTTGACATCAGGAGCCGCGCCACGCGCGTGTTTGCACCGTCTTATAGTGTGTGTGTGTGTGTGTGTTTGCGTGCATCTAGTGAACGGGCGTGATGTTACCCGACCTTCACGCACTTATCATACACTCGCGTTGTAATGAAGAATTTTGGTTTTATACAAGTGTATGTGTGTGTTTATTAAAGATGGGAGTTTTCCTTAGAGGAAGTGAAACAACTGATAACTTTATTCATGAAACATAGAACAGGAAAACATGCGTTTTCGTGCGTGATTCTGTACCCACCAACGTCCTGGCAAGGTGGTAGTGTCTTTACCGAGCGTCAACACTGCCTGGAGCCAGCATTTGTCGCTCCATCCCCCTAATCTTTTATTCCACGTGGCGAGATATTTTCGAAATGATGCTGTTATCACAGTCCAGTTGATCGGAGCCTATTTTGAGGGTGCTTATCTGTGCTTTTGTATTACGTGTGTGTAATGGTCTAAGTGCAATTACCTAAGTGTAGTTACAGGATGAGAAGTACTCTTGTGGTGTCCCGTCTTCCCAGTACTCTTGGTCATATGACGCTATGGAACTATTGATGGTTTTGGCCTCCACACCTGTTGTGTGTGTGTGTGTGTGTGTTAGTTTTGTGTGTTCAGAAACCACAACGTGTCGTACATAGCACACTCTTGGGCTTTACAGCCCAAGAGTGCTGCTGCAGCCATAATGGCATGTTTGTCATGGTGTTAGTGTGTCCTTCTTATGTTGGCTGATGTCACCTGTGTACATGTGTACTGCAATGTGTGACACGCTCATGTAGATGGTGTGGCACTCTCTGTACCGGCTGGATCTAGCTGTAGCTAGTGTGATACTCTGTGCTGTGGCTAGTGTGGTGTGGCACTGTGTTAATGCTGTGCAGATGTGGTGCTATGATATTGCAAGTGTGTGGCTGTGTAGATGGTATGGCACTGTAATGTGGTTTGAGTATGGCTGGATAAATGGTGTGGCACTGGGATGTGGTTAGAGTATGGCTGGATAAATGGTGTGGCACTGGGATGTGGTTAGAGTATGGCTGGATAAATGGTGTGGCACTGGGATGCATAGTTGGTGTGGCACTGTGCTACATCTGTGTTTATGTGGGGGTAATGTGATTCAGCTAGTGTGGCACTCTAGTGTTGATGGCTCTGTGATTCGGCTGGTGTGGCACTCTAGTGTTGATGGCTCTGTGATTCAGCTAGTGTGGCACTCTAGTGTTGATGGCTCTGTGATTCGGCTGGTGTGGCACTCTAGTGTTGATGGCTCTGTGATTCAGCTAGTGTGGCACTCTAGTGTTGATGGCTCTGTGATTCAGCTAGTGTGGCACTCTAGTGTTGATGGCTCTGTGATTCAGCTAGTGTGGCACTCTAGTGTTGATGGCTCTGTGATTCGGCTGGTGTGGCACTCTAGTGTTGATGGCTCTGTGATTCGGCTGGTGTGTTGCTCTTTGTTTTGGCTAGTAATAATATTTTGTGTAGATTACGTTTGTTTTGCTTGGATTCGTGTGTACTGCAGTAGTTCTGAAATATATATATATACATACCAGTTGCGTTGCTCCTGGCAGTATGGGTTCGAGTCACTTCTGGGGTGTGAGTTTTCAGTTGCATTTAGTCCTGGGGACCATTCAGGCTTTTTCGCATATATATATATATATATATATATATATATATATATATATATATATATATATATATATATATATATATATATATATATATATATATATAATATGAATGAATGATACTATTGATTATGTACCTCAAATGCTTGTTCGTACATATTTTATCAAAGTATAAAGATTTCAAAATATTATTTATTATCAAGTAAGTAATTACCAAAAGAAGGCACCAAGCCGGGAAGACTGGTGGTAGATGTGCTCTAAATATCACTAAGGATGCCAGTACGAGAACAAAAGCGCATAAGGATGAACGATATCAAAGGTATCTGATTCACTATCATGGTGTTGACTCCTAGATATCCCCTTGGACTGGCCGCAGCGGATGCTGGTAACGGATGCTTTTGTTTGTTATATTTAATGTTGTGTCGAGTTTACCGCTATGCGTGCGGCTTAGTGAATGGAGATAGCGGCTTCTAGTTGTGGTGAACTATTGTCTGTTTTTTAGTTTTATACTGGACTGTATTTTTCAGGCTACAATATATGGTGTATATTGCTCTGTTGTGAGAGTTTTGTGGTTGTAGGGTGGGGCTGTGTCAGGCTTTAATTCCTCCTGCAGTACTGTATTTGAGCTCTGGTTGTGATTTAGTGTCCTGTTATTTACTGGGTGTTGCTAGGTCTGGGTATGTGGCTGTTGTTCCTTACGTCGTTGTTTCTATTTTACAAAGGTGGTATAGGTGAAGATTTAAGGCTGTGGTTACTGTGGACGAGACTAGTGGAGGTGTTGTCCAGTGGTACAGTGTTACACTCTGAAGATGGAGACATCCTCATTATGTACGAGGATAAAACTTGGTGATTGAACCTTCTCATGATATAACAATAATTTGTGCGTTATATTTATTCTTCAGTCGTTGTGCCTTATTTACAAGCTACGATACATGAAGCCCCGTTTAATTATGGGAAAAACTTGGCAAAGTGTTTCTGCTGCTCTCACCGGTGTCGTGGTGTGGTGAGGCACAATGAGGACTGTGTGAGGGCGGGAGCGGTGAGTCCCGCGAAGTGCTGAATGCAGGATCTGGTTCCCACCACACCTGTAGGCCTAGGCCGCTCCACCGTCACCATGTCGGACTACGTAGGGGAGAGTCTTGCGTGGGCGGGCGGTCACGTTATGCCGCCCGTGGCCCTCGTGTCTGCCAGAGAGACTACCACCTCCTGGCGCCTACCGCGGGACGCCAGAATAGTGCCGCGGCCTTCTTTCAACATCCCCCGCAGCGCCACCGTTGCCTGCCGCACCGCGAGCGGGGCTTCGCGCAGCAAGAGACCCGCGGTGGCCGCAGCATGGGGTACACTGGACCCAATGGCCACAGGCGCCAGTCGGGAAGCAGGTAACATGGCCCCGGAGCCGCCTCTTGTTACCGTCCATGTAAACAATAATAGCTGTGCTGCCTCTGGCTCTGAGGCCTTCTTCAACCTGACACAACATGGCGGCCGCAGAGGCACGGCCATCTCGCGCTCGTCGTCCTGTGTGTCGGCTATCAATCGGGGAGCTTATAAGATACATTCATTAACTCCAGCCGCCACCTATAATGGACTTGGAAGACGTGAAAGTATAGCTCACGCCGGCCGACGGCTCGGGCGAAGCTACAGTGTGGCTCCGGGCGATGGCGTGCTCTCTGTAATGGCCAAAGGTGCCCATGTAACTGGCCGGCGAGCTCAGAGACTTCGACCACACCTGTCCTTCTGCTGCGACCATCACGTGTACCACCAGCACCAGCATCTCACCCTCCAGCATCAACCAGCAAAATACCAAAAGACTTACGGCCACACCGAGCACTTAGACAAGGCCCTCAACGGTACTAGCGGATCCATGATGCTGGGAGTAGCGACGTCCCCGCCCGTGGTGACACAGCCCCGTGTCCTCTACCCATCTGTGGGGCCTGGCAAGTGGCACCATAGTGACCACGACGCTGCAGGCTGCACGTGCCGACCGTGCAGTTTGGGAGTGGTGGTGGCACGTGCTTACAAGGCCGTACTCAGGGCCGCCTCCTACTGTAAGTACCTGCGACCTACAGTTATATAGTAGTACTAGATTGTTACCCCCCCCCCCCTCTAGTGCAGTGACGATGATAAGCTCCCTTGAGCCTTTGTCACTGCTGGTTAATGCTAGTTCTTTGTATGGAAATTTTCTCACTCAGTTAAGCTCCCGTGGTATGAACGACTTAAGCATGGATCATTATATATATGCAGGCGATGAGTCACAATAACGTGGCTAAAGTTGACCAGACCACACACTAGAAGGTGAAGGGACGACGACGTTTCGGTCAGTCCTGGACCATTCTCAAGTCAATTGTGACTTGAGAATGGTCGGTCGTCGTACCTTCACCTTCTAGTGTGTAGTCTGGTCAACATTATATATATATATATATATATATGTATTTTCTCCATAGGCCTACTTGACGAATATACTTGCTTTACAAACTATGAATTATACGTTTAACTTACAACGTTTAAAACTAAATGTGTTTAAGCATTGCAGCCTCACCTAGATGTAGCCTCTATTGGGCACACCGAGGCAAAATGTATCCTCTAGTGGTGATTGATGAAGACTAAGCCACCCCAAGAGGTGACACGGGCATGAGTAGCCCGGATGTCCTCTAGTGGACACACTGCTCCTACATACATCCTCTGATAGGCACGCTGCGGCCTCACATACTCAGGGTATTTCCGTTAAGATGTCTGGCAAGGAAGTGAGGCGAGTGCTACACGAGCTCTTGTTTGTTTCACGAGGAGTTAACACATTGCTAAGAGAGACACTACGGGCTCACCATAGCCCGTGCTACTTGGAACTTTTTGTTCCAAGTAGCGAATCTTAAACTAACAACAACAAATTGCTAAGAACCAATCGTATTGGCGTATGCCTTTCCATTGGAGACTTTCAGCGCCGTGGAGAGGTTGGGGGGGACCTGCTGCATGGGTAACAGCTTCTCCTCCATATCAACCTACCCTGGCTTTGTGCCCTGGTGAGGCTACTCCAGACCGACAACCAGAGGGCAACACCATTGTCTCCTGAGACTGATGGATGCCTACTGCTAATAAAAGTCTTAGGTGTATAGAGCGCCAGGGCCGTCCAAGGCTAAGGAAAATGGCTTCACGGAAGTTAGGTTAAATTCTACGAGGGTGTTTACACCCGTCGTGTTAAAGTGTGGGATAATGCGTCATTAGTACGCATCATGTTTATATTTAGTTAAGGATCTCGGGGCTGGATTACTGTGATTACCTCTGCACGTAAGGGGGAAATTCCAGTCTAGGACCGTAATATTTTCTTCTCACAAGCGTCGCAGTTATCGGCCCGCACGCAAAAATGAACCCAACTGCTTGTGGTAAACATTAAAAAAATGAATATCAGTTAAAAATAAATCTGCTGAATTCATGGTCAGGGTCACGTGGTCAGGGGTCACGTGGTCAGGGTCACGTGGTCAGGGTCACGTGGTCAGGGTCACGTGGTCAGGGGTCACGTGGTCAGGGGCATCGTGGTCAGGGTCACGTGGTCAGGGGCATCGTGGTCAGGGTCACGTGGTCAGGGGTCACGTGGTCAGGGGTCACGTGGTCAGGGGTCACGTGGTCAGGGGTCACGTGGTCAGGGTCACGTGGTCAGGGGCATCGTGGATAAACAAGGAATGCTCAAATGCCATAAGTAAACAATGAACAATAACAAAGGAACTGGCGAACATAATCTTGCGGTGTCCGGAGGTGACTTGCACCGGAGGATGACGGCAAGAGTTTGTTCGGATGACTTAATGAAGACTAGCCTGGGGCATGGAGGAGGCTGGCGGTCAGGTGGCTGTCCGCTCCTCTCATCCATCCCCACATCCACCATCCCATCCCATCCCCTCACGCGTGGATAGGCGTTAGGGAGGGAGAGAGGAGCGGACACACACACGTGACGTAGCCTAAACAGTATTCCATGACAAGGAACACACACACACACACACACACACACACACACACACACACACACACACACACACACACACACACGCACACGCACACACACCTGATTAGGAAAACGTATTTTCATGAGGCTTAGCAGTTGATGATACTGGGAATGTTGACTTGTTGACCAGACCACACACTAGAAGGTGAAAGGACGACGACGTTTCGTCGACTTGAGAATGATCCAGGACGGACCGAAACGTCGTCGTCCCCTCACCTTCTAGTGTGTGGTCTGGTCAACATACTTTAGCCACGTTATTGTGACTCCTCGCCTGCATGGGAATGTTGACGTTTGTGAGGTGGGTTACACTAGACGGAGAGCAGCATAAGCAGGTGTGGTGGTGGAGGTGAAGGCAGCGCCTGTGAGGGTAAGACGGTCGTTGGTGCGTCTTGTTTTCCTCTCTCTGTTCTGAAGGAGTGCTTCAGAGTCCTAACTTTACACTGATAATGTCAATAAGTTACTACTGACAGAGGTTGTGTTCAATACGAGAGAGGAGTTAGATGTGTGTGTGTGTGTGTGTGTGTGTGTGTGTGTGTGTGTGTGTGTGTGTGTGTGTGTGTGTGTATCACGAAAAATAAACGTGATTAAAAATCTGACAGTGTCAGACGGGCATACACGCGCGTGTGTGCGTGTATGCGCACTCAACTGTCAATCAACTGGAGCATGTGTGTGTGTGTGTGTGTGTGTGTGTGTGTGTGTGTGTGTGTGTGTGTGTGTGTGTGTGTGTGTGTGTGTGTGTGTACGCATCCGCGCGCGTGTGTGTGTGTACGCGTGCGCACGTGTGCGTGCGTGCTCACGTGAAGCATCTCCTCAATGATCTCACCAAGACACCAGGAGTTACAAGCCCACACTTTCACACGAGATACAGTGTGACATGCAAATTTCTTCACATCTTTGTTTTTTTTTTTGTAGCATATCCTTTCACTCTCTCCAAAACACGATTCACGGCCTTTTTTAAATTATAATATTGAGCAACAAAATATAGACGTTTGTTTTGTTAATAAAGTTGATCGTTCAGGGCTGGAGTGTGTCCTTGCCTGGTCAGGTCTGTCATTGATTGATTGATTGATTGATAAAGATTTAGCCACCCAAGAGGTGGCACGGGCATGAATAGCCCGTAAGTGGTACAATTTTTTGTTCAGTAAATCTATTCAGTGTTCTGAGGTCATTTAGACTTCTTTCTGGGATTCTCTCAGATATAACTGTATTTGCCACGGTCTTCCATTTTAGGTGTCGTAGGTTGAAGCCGCCAAGCAAGATGATAATTGGGGCAGGGTTTACGAGGTTTTATAGGCAATATTCTATTTTCATTAACTGACCTTTAAAATGCTCGGAATTATCCTCTGGTGACTTATATACAATCTTGAGATGATTTCGGGGCTTTAGTGTCCCCGCGGCCCGATCCTCGACCAGGCCTCCACCCCCAGGAAGCAGCCCGTGACAGCTGACTAACACCCAGGTACCTACTTTACTGCTAGGTAACAGGGGTATGGGGTGATAGTAACTCTGCCCATTGTTTCTCTCCGGCGCCTGGGATCGAACCCAGGACCACAGGATCACAAGTCCAGCGTGTTGTCCGCTCGGCCGACCGGCTCCCATACAAGGACAGTAACCATATCTAAAATCTCTATTTTGATTATGAGCACTTCCTCCAGCTCATTGTAGTTGGGTGTGTGCTTGGCGTACAAGATAACCCTATCCTGTATTAGCCTGTGTTTCCTGTCACGTCAGAAAAGATTGTACTCTGGTAGCCATATTTCACCATGACGGAGGGGTTCGAGGGCGGACACCCCAGCACCCACTGCAGGTGGTGGTGGTGGAGACGGAAGGACGCTGCCAGTTCGGGTGTCGAGGCCAGAGACCCCAGTCATTTGAGGTGCGCCGCCGCCGCTGGAGGGAAAAGTGCTTTCTCCTCTGCATCCCTCTCACCGTGTGTGTGAAGTCCAGCTTCATCATTCTTGTTCGAGGTGTTGCTTCATTCTTGTTCGAGGTGTAGCTTCATTCTTGTTCGAGGTGTAGCTTCATTCTTGTTCGAGGTGTAGCTTCATTCTTGTTCGAGGTGTAGCTTCATTCTTGTTCGTGGTGTTGCTTCATTCTTGTTCGTGGTGTTGCTTCATTCTTGTTCGAGGTGTATCTTCATTCTGGTTCGAGGTGTTGCTTCATTCTTGTTCGAGGTGTTGCTTCATTCTTGTTCGAAGTGTAGCTTCATTCTTGTTCGAGGTGTTGCTTCATTCTTGTTCGAGGTGTAGCTTCATACATGTTGAAAGTGAACCCCTGAGCACCGTTTATTCACTAAAGTGTTGGTTATGTATTAAATATAGTGAGGAACATCTGTCTAATTAAAAAAAATTATCTTCGAAATTTAAAAAAAAAATATTTTCTCTCAGATTGGATGCCAAGTTGTAAAACCGAAACAATAAACAGAATGTCAATATGTACGAGTTCTTAGTAATTTATATCACACTGGCCAACAATTCTGAACCTATTGTTATAGAAATAATATAATAATAATATAAGATTCGCTCCCTGAAACAAAAAGTTCCAAGGAGCACGGTCTATGGTGAGCCCGTAGTGATGGTTCTCGCCGGGGGACCATTGTTATTACTTCAATATCAAAACTCTAAAAGCTTAAAATATAATCCAAATCTCTCATCTGGTAGTGCTTTTGATGCACGTTGCCACGCACTCAGTTCTACAACCAAGGCGTTCTTCGTGTCTCTGAATATATAAAGAGAGCGATTTAATATATAATGACTGCGTGAAAAAAGTAGTTTAAAAATCGTTGATTTTCAAATTACGATGTTGAAATATTAATAACATATTAATTATGTTGAAATTGACGTTCTTATGCTGCTAAGAATACGTAATTGGGCGTGTTTTCTTTGTCAGTGACAAATTATTTGGTTAATGGATTTCGACGCCCTTGGAGGAATTAATTAGATATTCTCTTTAAGATTATTTTATTTCGGTAGCAGGTGAGGTAACTCAATCCCAGGTGAGGTAACTCAATGCCAGGTGAGGTAACTCAATGCCAGGTGAGGTAACTCAATCCCAGGT